CAGCTTCCTCCCTGATATCAGGTAGGTTTTCAGTTCTAACAAGAGAACAAAAAGCAATGCAGTTTAGAGGAGTGTAGCATAACTTTCACTTTACTGGTTGAGTGAGATTAAAAAGAAGTGAATTGCAGAGCACAACCGATGTTAATTTCTTCAAAGCGGTGTCACTTAACACAATCCTAACAGCAGTGGCTTGCAATTGCTAAAATATTACTTGAAAATTTGTAAAGACCAGTCATCATGTGCCTCTGAATTCCCAAAGAAAGCAAATTTTCTTACTTACATAAAAAAATCAACTAAAATGGTGTAGTAACTTTTAAATTAGGGTCTATTTCCCTGAGAGGCACCACTGCACATGTCGCTGATAAAAATGGACTGGATTATGTTGAAAATGTGGACTCTGGGCAAATTTCTTTCACCATTATGAACAAACAGATGGTCATGTTCAGGAATATGAATATGAACTGCTGACATAAGTCATTTTTATAGTGGTATGTACTGAGATGATCCAGCTGGGTTTTAAATGTTAACCACTGTTAGATGTAACCAAAAATCTGATGATTCAGGCAGGTCTGTAACTGATTTGTCAATAAACTAATTTAATAATGAAAGGACAGAAACAAGTCATTGGTAGCTGTGTCAGGTGTGTGGATACAACAAGGAAGCGCTAAGGACACACCCTCCCTTCCCAGATCAGCACAACGCTGACCGTTAGCCATTAATGGCATTTGAGGAGGAAATTTTATACTTGTGAAAATCATGGCTAGGTGTAGACACACACCCTTCAAGCACACATGATCCATGCTTAGTGGATTTACACAAATGCTGACAAGCCAACGGTAATGCAATATTGGGCGTTTCACAAACTGTGTTTGCATATCAGCCCACGGCTCAGGCCTATTCACCCCGCTGAAGAGCCAACAAGGAAATATACAAACAGTGGATTAGAGAGATGGCCCATAGCCAGCTACTATCAGCATGTCCAAACATACAGTAACCTGGCTAGCTGGCCTCATTGTTCAAACAGCTAAAGACGCTAACCATATTAGCAGGGGGGGTGACTGGAAGAGCATCTAAAGGGTTACAGTGACATGGTCTATAACAGGTCGTGTGCTCTCTACTGTAAACTGACTGAATGTGAACTATTTACTAGTAAAATTGAACTTGATGGCCTGCAAAAAGATGTGT